TCATTGCCATTGGGACTGTCAACGCTCAACAGTTTTTCTTTGACGCGCTAATTTGCCAAAAACAAGAATTTCCTACAAAACGTATTTCATTTATGATTGGAGGAGAGGTACTTTTTTATTTTGAGAATACTATCGACTGCGTCATCGTTTTTAAGTGTTTCTTTTTTTTTGTTATTGTCTATTTCACAATTTCAAATACATTCATATTTCTTTTGCTTGATGACAAACAAAAAATAGAATTCGAAACAAAAGCAAGGGAGACAACTAAGATATGAAGTACAAAATTAGTGAGAGATCTGTTGGCATTGAACTGTGCTCTTCTTGTTGTTGTTGCAACATATGCTAATTATGGTTAAATGTGTCGCTCATTTCATTTGTAATTGCTACACATTTAGAGCCGAAGACGCTCCCACAAGTGTCCGCAATTTCTCTTCTCTTTCGTTATTCACAAAAAAGCCGTGACTCACCAGATTAACGATAGACTAAATTTATACATATGACATTTGTATTTAATCATTATTGTTTCTATATGGCTATTAAGCCCACGCTATCGTTAGTTAGATTGAATATGAAGTCTATGAAATGCAGGTAATTATTTTTTTTACTTAACTGACGCACTCGAAGTGATAACGGCTCTAACTAGATGGGAAATTATGGGTATGTGTGATACCACGAAACCAACTTAAAATTATTGCTGAATTGAGATAATCTTTATATAGACACTGATTTTGGTATATTCTAGAAAGGGGTGGAATAGGACAGGCAGTAATTCCGAAATAGTTTAATACACATAATAATAACAAAGTAGACCTCCAAGCTAGTGCCAGCTCGTCTGCAATGCAATTCTCATAGTTGTGCCGATGGTCCTACCTGAAGAAATGTCTAATAAAACTTTCAAACTTATAAAGTGTTTTAAATTAACAATTTCTTATTGTACTTAAGATAATATAGTTTTTACGATCAAAGGAGTCATTCCACCCAGGCATATCTATCTTAAAATTTATCTAAGCGTCTAGGTTTACAGACATTAAAAAAATTCACTTTTCTCTGCTTTATATATAACCAAAAAAAAAACAAAATAAATCATAAAAAAGCTGTTTAAAGACCGGAAGATAACTTTTTTGTGACTTTCTAGCTTAAATTCTAACAACTAAAAAAAAAGAATAAAGTCAAAACAAATAATGAGAAAATATAACGACGAGCACACTTGAAACTAATTGGCAGCGCGTCACAATCACGTGCAGAAATAAAAAGAAAATAATTCAGCAGCTGCTCTTATCAAAGCAAAGTTTACCTGATAAGTGGAGCCTACGGCAGGAAATATAAAAGTTGAATATTATTGTTAAGCATTGAGTGTATTTTTGGGTTAATGCCTGATATGTGACACGTCTGGGCGTAACGTGTGCAAAAAAAAAAGAACGAAATTAACTAATAATATTGAATAGGCCCGCCCGGGCACGAGTTGTATTCGTTGTATTTTTATAGTGACATGCGGAAATAGTGATCAATTCTAGATTTGCGATAACTTCGACAAAAGCTACATGCGTCTTTATACATAAGTAGGTCTATACAGAGCTACTACGAGTATATGTAAGCTGGCGCAAAAAACGCACCTAAAAATCTTGTTATTAGCTGCAATATGTGGCCGATTGTCTGTGCATGCTCTTGGCAAAATGGCGACGGCTGATCAACAGTTGGCGTCATTAGTTTGTTTAGAGCCCGGCGGCTACCTGTAAGCAGGCACATTTAGTATATGTTGGCTGGCTCATTCCTAATTTTATACGCGCAACAATTGCCAATTACTTAATAGCCCAAACGACACAAACGACCAAACACAAAAACAACACTCATCAACAAAAGCCATGCGACAGCCAAACGCCAACTAGAACGTCGCCAACTGAGCGAATGCCAGCACGCTTTTAGCCCCTGGGAGGCATGTACTTGTGGGTTCTCGGGTTCACTGAATCGCGCACATTTTTCATGAATCAAGCGAGTGATTCGAGTGCCACTGACGCCGTCGTCCAAAGGTTGACAACATTCTGCATACGTTTGTTTGAAATTTAATGATGTAAAATGAGAGCACGCCGTGTGCACGGGATTCTTATAAATACCAAAGACTACTCACATTTTTAATGAAACAAAACTGAAGTGCAAGCACTGTGAAGGAATACCAGAATGTAAAATACAGAGTAAACCCATTAATATGTACACATATGTAGGAAATAGTCATTTAAATGATTCAAACATCGCCATCAAACGGCAATCTGTGCCTGCTTGTATGAACGCTTGTGTTTCTAAAACTGAATAGTGTATGTGAGAAAAATCTTGGTGTTCGCATTCCTCTGACTTTTATGCAAATTGTTTTATATTGGATTTTAAATATCTCCTACCTTTCATGTACAATTCATATGAGCAATAAATTTGCTATGCTGATTTATTTGAACAGCTCCAATGCTTTGATAGCAATTTGTGAGTTTATTTAAATGTCACAACAAAATCGCATTAACAAAACTAACAATAAAATCAAAAATGTTTTAGGTATAGGTTAGGATAACGATATTTCCAGTGAGCTGTATCTGACTCTATCGTATAATATTGTGCATGCACGTTCCTATAGCTCAAGTGGCATATAAAAAGTAAATAAATACTATATGCTGCCCATATATAAGAAGTATAGGAAGGTATAAAAACAGCGCACGTTTTCGAGTGCATTGCAAAATGAAATTTATAATGCAAGCAAAATAAACATATTCAGAAATGTAGCCAGGCAACGCCCTGCCTTTACACACACACACACACACACACTCACTGAATATGTATGTATGTGTGACGAAGGGTAAACGAAGTATGAGCGACAGGCAGACTGACTGCACTTACTTGTACATATAATCAAGTGGCAATATTACTCATACGCCCTGTACTGCGTGCGTTTGAGTGCGTGGCTTGTTTGTATTATTTTGTTTTGGGTTTTAAATGAATTTCACAATAAATCATAAGAGAACGGAGAAGCTGTTATTTTTAAAAACAAGTCGTTAAAATGACTTTGTAGAAACAGCGGAGGGGGCTGGTGCCATAAATTGCTTAACAAGTCTGACGATATGTGTGCTTTTGTTTATGTTGTTGTGTCGTAGAATCGATAAACAAGTTCCAAGCGCCATGCTCTGGTCGCTACTAGTATCTAACGTTTGCATCAATACATCTATATATATTTGTATTTATACACATTTAATATGTTAAAGACTTTGGCGACAACAACATGGCTTCTTAAATATACTATACATATATATAGTACATACATATGTACGTATGCATGTATATGTGCAAATACATATTAACGTATCTGTATGTACATACCAGTATAGTAGTTGCTGTCTTTTGCTTATCGCCAGCAAATGCTTCTACTCTGCGTTTTCTAGCGTTTTCTGAATCGTTCCCGCTTCAAATTGTCGCGCTGCTTAATTTCTTTTTCTTTTTTTAAATAAATTTTTTTATTATTTGTTTCTTATTCAATTTTGTTATTGTGCCGTAAACAGTGCTCTATCTAACATTTGTTTGTTTTGGCTGCTCAGTCATTGGCGTTCATTGAATTGAATAATGAATATGTGTGTGAACGAATATGTATGTATATAATATATATTAGGCATCTCTGTATGTATGTATATTAATGTGTTGTTTTCTGTTTTTATTTTTGTTTTTCTCTCTATTGCGGCTAGCGCTTGGCTTGGCAACAACACGCGGCATAGATTGTTTGTTTCTAGTTTTCTTGAAAATGTTTGTAAATATGAATGCCTGATGAACGCGCTCATAAATTCCGTTTGCTGTTCCTATTAAATACATACATATGTACAAATGTATGTGTATATATATACATATATAATTATGTAGTATGTATAGCGGACTTTTCTTCATTATTTTTGGCACATGCAATAAAAACGTGTGCTGGCTAAATTTAAACAGCAGGGAAATATAGTCTACTACGCACATATACATACATACATACATAAGTATATTAAATTGACTATTTGTATAAGATTTGTGTTTTGTTTGTCAATGTGCGGGAAACGTGTTGGTTGTACATATATTTTCAGAATTTATAGATATAGTACTATGTTGTTTAACATGCGTACTTGCCATTAAATGACTAAGGGGCGAATATAGTTGGAAAATGAACTGGGTGGAAAAATTACCTAATTTATGTTTTGATTCAGCTAGCTGCATTTACATAGAACTTAGACTCAGATATACAGTTTTGAACACAACAATGTGATTATTATTTAAAACATAATATTTTGGAAGTAAATAAATAAAATAAGTAAATAAACATGATTGCTGTAGTTTTCACAATGGATTATTTGGAATTTGAATATAGATATGAGGATATGGAACAATTGCCAATTAAAGCAAAGGAAAAACAAGTGAAAAAGCTAAAGTCGTAAAAATTTGAAAATATGAATAAAATTGGAAATAGTAATAAACAAATAACTGTTTAATCTATTATAAAAATATCGGGATTGGAACTCACGTAAAGGCTGTGTGTCTGTATGTGAGTATGTGGCACAGCGAGGGCAGAGGTTACATTTATGGCTACAATTTCCTTTAAATTTGGCTTATCACGATTGAAAGTTGACACAGAAAAAACACGTCGATTAACTACTTCAAAGGATATCTAGCCATTTAAATATATCGAAGTGTTACTTCCAATAAAAACAGACCCTCACAAAACTCATGCCCAAGAACACAACCCAAGAGGTTTTTGCTTTGCTCTGATGAAAACGTAAGAAAATATTTGTGTCTTGTATGCCGGAAGTAATTGTGTATGCATATACTCGTACATATGTATATATGTACATATATGTATATTGGAAGTATGTGTTTGTGTGGCTGCTGGGTAGATGTTCTGAAAAAATTTGTTGTTCTGTTTAAGTATGCTAACTGTACTTTAAGGAATTTTACCCTTTTTACTACAACAAAAACAAAACAAATCGCTCGTTTGATTTTAGCCAAGTGCCAACTTGGGGCGCACAAATTGGTCGGTGGTGGTCTCTAAGCTGATTTTGAATGCCATATCTACACGGAGCAGGGACAAACTGAAAGACTGAAAGTTTGCTTCAGATACTCGTAGTCGGCCCCAAACTAATTGATGCCGTCCCCAGCGTCAGACACTGTGTGAAAAGCATTCGATTTTCTTTAAATTGATCCGATATGCACATTTAATAAACTTGTTTTCTCTCTTGCAGCATATTTATATATGATTTTACCACATACTCTTAGTACTTTATAAGCGTCATTTAATTTTTGATTTGAAACGAAATAAAGTTCTCAACAAACACACTACATTTAATCTAAACACATAATCCTAAACTAATTATATTTAAGTCACTAGCTTTAAGTGAGTTTAAGTTATGCGCCTAATAAATGCATTACTAAAAAAAACAACAACCAAAAAACAAACAAATACAAAAACAAAATGAACAAATCTTTGAACAAAATTTGGACTTATTTGTATTTCTTACCTTCCCCCTTCTTTTTGCATATGAAACAAACAAACAAATCGCAAACGAACAAAATATAGCGAAGCAGCAGTCTCCAGTTTTCCTTATTGCACAGAATCTAGCTTAAATTTTTCAACATCAGGCACAGCGTACAGCGAGGATGATGCAGAATATGCCACCGGAAGACGTAATAAAACTTCGAGGGTAAATATTAAAATTTTAGAGCGAAACATACGTACAAACAAACAAACAAACAGACAAACAATTGAATTTTAAAACAAAATCAAAGGATCAAAAGAGAGCGCCCAGTGACTGCAGCCAACAGCAATCAGAGTGACCACGCCCACTTCGACTGCCGCCCACATACACATACGCCCCTGAAAACGAATGCTCATCTGCATCGCTGCGCACACACACACACACACACACTGATGAGCATATACAGAAAGACGCCACACGCTGACACGCCGCTTTTGACCCTTTTTTATTGTAACCAATATTTTGCAAACAAATAAAAATTTTACAAAATCGCCGATCCAATCATTATTTAGCATAATGGTTAAATGCACTCACGCTTCCTTATCTATAGCTTCAGCAATAAATTGGTATTAATTTTTCAATATCTTTAAACCATGCCCCGCCCACAGCAAGACCCTCTGTCGCACCGCATCATTGAGAAACGCCGCCGAGACCGCATGAACTCCTGCCTGGCCGATTTGTCACGCCTTATACCGCCACAGTATCAACGCAAGGGGCGCGGACGGATCGAGAAGACCGAAATTATCGAGATGGCCATTCGTCACCTCAAGCATCTGCAGAGCGAATGTATGCAGAAGGAGAGCGAATATCGGAGCGGCTATATGGACTGCATGAAGGAGGCCGCCAAATTTCTATACGACAGTCAAATGCAGGACTTTTGCTATCGCTTGCTGACACGTCTGCAGGAGCACATCGACGAAGTGTTTAAGGGTGAGTAGCGCCAGAAAAAGTGCTCCCTAACTGCATTGAAACTAATGTTGAAAGGTGAACAAATGTCTGTTAAATTATAAATCGACACAGTATAAGAAAAACTTGATCATTTATTAGTCTGAAACATTTAATTTGTCTAAGAAAATCGCACAGTTTTTGGTTTCCAAAGTATCCAAAAATGCAAAAAATACTTGTAATCTGCCTTCCTGGCATTACACTTAATTTGATTGCTCGGCGATCTTGAAAAGCCCCTAAAGTAGCAGATTGGATTTAATATTCCATAAGCTCAAAACTATGCTTATACTTTGATAAACGTTATCAGGTTCAGTTGTTCAGTTTCGAAATTCGATTAACATTGTCGGAATAGACTAAAATATAGTGAGTCTAGTGATCACTCACTAATTGAGAAATTGTTCATCTTCAAGATATATTTGAATGCAGTGGAGTTACCGAAAATATGAAAAAAAAAAAACAATAACTGACTGACTGCTCTCTCTCTCTCTAATTTCCAGCCGATTGCTACAAGTCATCGCGTGGTAGTTGCCACATGCCCGACAATGTGAGCGCCTCCAGCGGCAGTCCGCATCAGGCTTATCATCCACCACTGTGCCATCTGCGCGACATGCTGGCCACCTCGGATGTGGAGCACAGCAACGATCACAATGATGTGAAGGACTTGAGTTTTCGCAACCATATCAATCAGCTGCATCGCAATCAGCAGGCTGCCGTGGCAGCTGCGGCCGCTGCAGTTGTGGCCAATGGCAGCGCCTCCAATACCAGCGTAGAGAGTCCACAAAAGGTCAATGGTGGCGCTTTGAGCATCACAGGGAACTCCGATAATATACCCACCAATTCCACGGCTCCGGCTAGTGTAATGGCCGCCGCATCTGGCAGTAACACGGCCAGTTCCACCACTTCGCATGCATCGAGCTCATTGACGATCACCAAGTCATCGACGTCGAATGTGGTAGGAACAGGGGCGGGAGGAGCGACAGCCACACCGACGACACAACAGCCGCACCAGGCGCCCGTCATCACGTCTACGGCACCCGCCTCGCTGCATCATCACACGGACTCTAGCCAGCATGATTTTGATTCATCGCGAGAGCCACTTCTGCACGCAGACACCTCGAACATGCATTCGCCACCGCCGCGGGATTCGTTACTGCACCACCATCATCACCATGCCCATCTGGGACACAGTCATCACACCACGGACAGCTTGCTGTCGGTGCGCATGCGCAACTACTCGGAATCATCGCACGAAATAGAGCACAACAACAACTATAAGTACAAGAATCACATTAAGGAGCGCTTTGTGCACGAACTGCATGACGAGGAGACGTCTAGTGAGCATTGTCCAGCCCCGCCGCATCTACAGAGCGACCATTCCCACATGCATGCCCTGTCGGAGCACTCCAAAGACGGCACCGAGCCTGAAATTGCACCCATTATGGCCAAGAAACGCAAATTGGCCGAAGCGGCAGCCAATGGTGAGTTGCTTCCTGACGCGAATACCAATTCGGCAGCCAGCACCATTATCGGCGGCCCCGGTGGTCGTGCACCACTCGTCCTGGTGCGCGATGAGAAGCCTTCGTTTTCGTTTAGTGATATTAAAGCGGAGCTTCACAACAACAACTCAAATTCCAGTCCACTCATGGCTAAAATGGCCGCTGCGGCGCAATTAGGCACCCCAAGCAGCACCACCGCACCTCTACCCCCGCGCCACTCCTTCGCCGTGCCCATTTTTGCACTGCACGGCCAGGGGAACTACTATGTGCCCCTCAACGTGGACTACAATGTCCTGGTGCCTTTCCTCAATGGCGTCGACCTGCTGGAGAAGAGCTACACCACCATGCCGGTGGTGCATCCCATCAATATCAATGTGAACTTTATGCCCAACACAACGTCGGCTTCGCTATTAGCCGCTGCGGCCGCTGCTGCTGCCGTTGCTGCTGGCAAGCAGCAAGTCGGCTCTGCCACGCCCCTCAACGTCGCTGGTTCCAATTCAACTGTGGCTCAAGCTGCTGCAGCGGCAGCGGCCGCTGTGGCCAAAGCAAAGCTCGAGCAGACCATCAGCAACAGTTGGTGAAGTGAACTCCTGTGGCATGGGGCTGGATAATAGGAAAGGAACAACTCTACCTCAGTAATTCTGTGAATAATCATTAAATGATTAATCTCAACAAAAATCATGAAATAAAAACAAATAACCTGTTTAACTGTTTGAGATGCCAAGCGCAGGGCGCGGGCTGACGCACCCACAACACACATATAAACATACATATGTATACACACCCACAATCACAACCACCCACACCGCATATAGAACGTGGCCCGCCATTGCGTTTTACTGTAGAAATATTTTTGTAAAATACACTATTTTATTAGAAATGAGAAGACGTAGAGACAGCTTAGAAACGCTCGCCTCTTCTGCCTTGAAGGTGCCGAAGGCATATCCATTGATCTGCTAATATGCTATATAGTAACTGTTAACTGTGTAGAATGTGGCGACATTTGATTTAATTACAAACAAACAAAACAAGTCAAAGCTATTCGCTAGTTGTTAAATAGTTGGAAAATATACACCTACGAGTATATCTATGTACAAATTATATACATGGATAGATGTCTAGGAATATTGTGCAGGCCAGAGCCAGAATGCGTCGCTTACTAATCTGCAACCATGATGCCAAGAGTCCCACGCTAAAGAAATCTAATAGATTTTAAAAACTTTTGAAAAGGAATAATAACAATACCAACAAACAAAAGAACATTGTGAATTATATGTATGTATTTTTTAGGTATTTAATAATTTTAGTCTCTAAATTAATTAATTAGTGTTGTGGTTTCAAATCAGGTAGTTTCTAATTTAACTTGGCGCGTGAAGCTGGTTTTGAAAATTACACACGTATGTATATGCAGAAACAAAAACCACTAGTCAACAAATTCTAAGACAACAACAACAAAATCGTGAAAAAGAACTATATTTTAACAAATAATATGTATATGTATGTTATGTTTAGTGACAAGTTATGTTAAGTTTGTTAGACCGTAAGCGCCGAAGCCGCTTAGCAGCTTCTTGAAAAGCTTTCAAAACGCACCAATTTTCATTTTCGAAATGCGGTCCTAAGTAAATGCATATAAAATATACAATATACTTGTAAGTATGTCTGTTTGTATGTTTATCTAACTGTTAAGTATAGTTACTGTTTTTGTTAGTTACAACAAATTCAAGAGAAATTGAAAATCGTGTCATTTTTATAAAAAAAAAAAAAAAACTAATAAAACGTTTTTGAAAAACTCTCTAGAGATGTTTATTCTGAACTCTTAACTGTGCTGTGGAGCGCGCACTAAAAGCGAAGAAGCACAAATGATCCAAACGAATAATATTTTTTATGAATTTAACAACTTTTTAAAGCGCGCAGCAAATATTTCCTAATTGAATACTGAAAATATTCAAATAAAATAAAACAAATCAAAAAATAACTTGACAACTATGAGAATTCTAATCAAAAAACAATTTATTATTGTATATTGTGTGTATTATATTTTTATCAGTGTGTTTGAATTTTATAATCAAAAGATTACAATTAAATTTTTTAGTATATTTAAACTAAAAAGAGAGAATAAATCCAACTAAAATGTGTTTAGCATAAAAAATATGAATTAATTGTAATTATTGTTAACAATTTAAATTTTTAAATAAAAACATTTCTTTAAATTTGTTTGTTTTTAGATTTCTCAATAATGTCATAGGAATGCATTACAGCAATCTTTAGCCTTATCTATATCTTCTATATTCATAGAACGGTTCTTTACAGTTTATTCATTCCCTAACTATCCAATAGCGTGAAAGCAGAATTTTGGTGGCGGGGTTAGAAAAAGTAATCTCGCAAAAAGTTGAAGCCAAAAACTCTTTAAATGAAACCAGTTTTTTTTTGGTGACTCCTTACTTTGTTGAAATCTATGTTCAAATTTTGTTTGAAGCAAATAGTTAGTGTTAATATGCAGAAATTTGAAAGCCAACTTATGTCCTGTTGGATAATGGCACATTCCAGCCAAATATTGGTAACAAAAATTTGTTTCAGATTATTGTAGCCAAGATTAGCAAATATTAAGACAATATTGGTGTAGGAATGATTTAGTAGGTCGTGTAGGCTTAAAATTTTTTTTTTTGTAAAGTGATTTTGTGCTATTTATGCTTAGATTAATGTTCAATTAATTTCAGAACAATATAAAATTTCATTTAGCTCGATCAAATACCTGTTTCTAAAAATAAACAACAGTATAAATCAGTTGAATAACGTTTATATTTTGCTTTTGTTAGATTTTACATGCTGTGTTTGATTTCGGCACGTATACTTGAAATACGCGTGGCTCATTAATATAACTTAAAATTAAATATCTTGTTTAGTACGATCTAGGCGCATGTTAGAGCTGTCCATTAGAGAACTGGGACAGGCGAAATTATAGTACATACATAGAATCTATTGAAGGGGTAGAGTCTAAATGTAAATGTAATCAAAAATTATGATAGAAAATTGTACACGAATACAATATTTTCACAATATCAAGCAAAGCGTATCTGTGGATTAAAAAAGATGGTGAATGGTTCATTGAATTTGTGAGTGATTGTGTGCATGGTTAAAAGGGGTGTCTTGTGTGTAAATGAGTGAAAATCACACAGTTTCTGCGCTCTCTGTGCTAGAATAGCTGCGGATTTATTAGAGATTTTAAAAACACTTAAAACTACGGCTTCAATTGCGGCGCGCACGGCGACGTGTATTATTTGCAAAGGGCGTGGCATTGGGCGCTCCACCAGGATGCTGGCCACTATACAAATTATCCAGAAATTCGTGCAACGTGGCCTCGCTGCAAAAAAAAACAAAAACGTTTATCTGGCGATTAGCAATTCGCATTTTAATTTACTTACCTCACACCGCTAACACCGCCAACACCACCATGATGATGTCCACCACGCTCGTGTTGATGCTGCTGATGATGTTGGTGATTCTGTTGCTGCTGCTGTTGCTGCTGCTGTTGATGCTGTTGTTGTTGCTGTTGGTGCTGCTGTTGCTGTTGGGCGCCACGAACAATGCGATACTGCACCATGTGAGAATTCGGCTCCAGGTGCGACAGAGCACCTTTTTGGCAATTGGCCCATTCGGTTATGTCGTACACCTTGCCATCCATCAGTGCCAGATATTTCCAGCGCAGGCCCAGCATGCTAGTCTCAGCCCAGATGTCGCCCTGCGTGCCAAAATATTGTTAATTAGACATTGAGCATACGCGAATGTAAATGGAGAACAGTTTCATTGCTCTACTCACATCTTTGGCTGAGTGACGTATCTTACAGGAAGCGCATTCACGCGCTGCATAATGAGGACGTTCGGTTAGTTTGCGAGGATGGCGCTGCGCGCATGTACTGCATCTGTAAGTAGATACGAAAAAGGGGCAATAGTTAGAACAAAAGAATATAAATGAAAGCAAAATAAAACAAAAGAAAGTTGGAGCCCACGGGAAATGCAGCCTTTCACTTATTGTTCATTCAATCAACAGCTTTAAATCTGGATACCTTATAGTATTGGCCGCTTCCGTCATTTTCGTTTGCAGCTGTGACAGCAGATCGTGCAGCTCTGTCCAAGCTTTTTCGGCATGCAACGCTTCGGCTAAGCTTTGGTCATAGGCAAGACGATTTTCCTGTGAATATTCCAAGAGCATTAAAACGGTTTAAACTTTCCTCCAGCTGCCTGAGCACTTACCGGTTCCCCAATTAATTCAAATGCACGTTGTAGCACCTTGAATGCCTCCTCGGCGCCAGCCTGCTTGTTTTTATCGGGATGAACGAGCACAGCAATTTTCTTGTAATGTTTACGTACTTGTTCTTGAGGGCTGTCCGGTGGTAAGCCTAATATGCTGGGGAAAAATATAATATATGTTATTGATTAGCTAAACTAATGAGTACGAATGAGTACTAACCTGTAGGCATCCTTGCCTTTGCAATTCAACAGAGAGAACATGGCCTCTTCGCCCGTCTGCGGAAGTCGACCAGTCTTAAATGCCTCGGTCGGTGGCTCCGGTGGTTTGCGTTTGTAGAATCTTCGCCAAAAAGCCCAACATGAGTTCTTTTTGAAGCGAGCATCGAAGCGTCGCCAATAGTTGCGCCACCAGATGCTCGGTTTCCCCGAATTTTGCTTTAGTTCCTTATGCAGTTGCTGTGCATATGCTAGGCCCGCAATGTAAGCGGTTGTCAAACGTTCATAAGCCATACTGCAGCCGAGTACGACAATATCGTAGACCAAATAAAACAGCCAGGTCAGCAATTTCAACGTCCAGATCCACCAAGTGTGTAATATCCGCTTGGCCAGCTCGTAGTTACGGTTGGGCGTGGAACTGGCATGAGAGGGAGAGTTTGAGGAATAAGCATTGCCCCGGTTCCGTTTCGAGGAGTATGAGTAGCCGCCAGAGTTCGAGTTCAGGTTTGTATTTGATGATGTGGAATTGTAGTAGCGCTTGGATGAGGAACTTGAATTGTTGTTGCTGCTGTTGTTATTGTTACCAGTATTAGAAGAGTTTCCCGTATTGTTGGCATTCGAGTAGTTTCCATTGGAGGCGTTATAGGTGTTGTTCATTTTGTTGACATTCGTCTTCCGCGTTGTTTGCTGTGCTGCACTTGCTGGTGCATTATTGTTGTTGTTGCTTGCTGTTGCCTTGTTTGTGTTGTCGTTGCTTTTAACGCTATATCCACTACTATTGCCATTGCTATTATTAGTGCTGTTGGTTTTAAGCTGCGTGGGTGTATTTGTTAACCGCTTTTTATCCTGCGTTGCCAACGGTTGTGGTTTTGTAGACTTGTTGGGCGCCTGCTGCTGGATCTGTTGCGCCTGTTGTATTTTCTGTGAAGAAGCTTGATGGCCATGTCCACGTTTCTTGTTGCGATTACCATTAGAGTTACCGATCGCATTGGTCGTTGACGACTGCATCGCTCCCCCAGCCGCATCCTTGGCTTCATGCAAGGGCGAGCGTTTTGATGAACGTGTCTGGTGACTAACTTCATCCTTGACGCCTTGACGACGCGATTGCGTCAGATTAGCATCCAGACCATTGCTGATGCGTCCTTCACCCGAGTTGCTTGTGTTTGCCATCGAACGTAACGTGCCCTTGCTCAACACATCAGAGTATGACATGGGCATGGGTTTAACCTCGGCGACAATACGTTTCTTAGTCTCGGGCAAGCCCGAAACGACATTATTTGTCTTAGTGCTGGCAGTGTTGGATGCAAGGTTCAAACCGGCATTGAATTTATCTGCAGTCTTTGCTGACGGTGAGGATGCCAAGGTAACTGGGGCCTTGACATTGTACTGTTGCTGTTGTTGCTGCTGCTGCAGTGGTGGTTGCTGATGATGCTGTTGCTGTTGTACTGGCATTGGCGATTCATTGTAATTTCTGTTGGTATTGGGGTCTGTGATTTCTGCGCCAAACTGTGTGTAGGTACCGCCGGTTAGATTGGGCGACCAATTGCTAACAAGGTTGTTAAACAGATTCGAGCTGCTATTCGCCGTGCTCGTGGCAGCATTACCGCGTGGCTCCTCAAATTGCCTAAAAGAGGGCGCCTGTTGTTGTTGATGTTGTTGGTGGTGGTGCTGCTGCTGTTGCTGCTGTTGTGACGGTACTGCAATATTCATTTCAGGATTTGGCAGCAGCGGATTGGTGGCAAACAATTCATAAAATTGCGCTTGCATCGGTGGTGTTGGTTGTTGTTGCTGGGGTGTTGGTGGCTGCTGCGGTTGCGTTGGCTGATGAAGTTGGCTCGGAAGTGGCGCTATGTTGATATGGGGATATGCCGCATTTTGCGGCGCGAAGAGAGCTGCATTGCTTTCATTAACAGCAGCGGGGGCACTCCCTAGATTATCAGCACAGTGGTAGACCTTAAGATGTAATTGCATGGGCAGAACAGAGTAGGTCTCCGTTTGCGCAGGCGAATACGCCACGTTATACATATATTCATTGAAAATTTGCTGTTGCTGAGGCAGCGACGGCTGCTGGTGATGTTGATGATGCGGTGGAAATGTGGGGCTCATATGTTGTTGCTGTGGCCACATCATCGGAGGCGGCGGTTGTCCTTGCTGTTGGTGATGAGAATGGTGCAACTGTTGTTGCTGAGGATGTACCAGAAAGTTGGCCATGTCCGAAGTGTGGGGTAAATGCGGTACCATGGCCTCATCACTTCCGCAGCTGCCACGCTCATCCTGACGTGTCGTCATGTCCCGTAACGGAACGCAACGCGCGTGCCTATTTTTTTCCCACCACCTGCCTGGCGTCGACTCAAAATCGAAATCCTATTGGAAATTGGTGTTTCCGCCAGTTCGAATCTCCGTGAATCATTCGTGGACTGTTCCAATTGTTAGTCAATTAATATTATAGAGTTTTAAAACAATAAAATAAATACGTTGCTGCTTTTTGCAATAAATTCAACTCACTAATCTTTTTTGCTTGCGTGTGTGTGCGAGTGTATTTTTTATCTTATTGCAAACGTCAAAATGTGGTAAGAAGAAGAGATGCAATGCCATTCAAATTTAACGCATGCATATAGCACAGCGAGACTGTGTAAACAAACTATTGTGAATAACACATTTAGCGTAAATTTAGTCAATTCCAATTCGTTACCATTTTCAAACCATTCAAACGTTGCAATATTTCACCATGCAGTAATATTTGAAAAACATAATGCTTGCCCAACCGCTAGTAACGGTTATACGCGCAGGCCGCATTGCATATGCGGCAGGATTGCAGCTGCAGCAACAGCTGTCTCAACAAAACAAAAAAGACCCTACCGTGTTTCGAAACTACATCATTCTGCTGGAACACGATCCTGTTTATACAATAGGCATACGAACAAAAGGCTATACAGCGAAAGAAGAGGAGCGTCTGCGAAATCTTGGCGCTGAGTTCTATCGTACCAATCGAGGCGGTCTAATAACCTTTCACGGACCTGGTCAGCTTGTTGCCTATCCAATTATACATCTGCGACAATTTAAGCCAAGCATGCGTTGGTATGTCGATGCATTGGAGCGCACTGTGATTGAGACATGCTTCCAAATGGGAATAGCAAATGCCACCACCACCGAAGACACTGGCATATGGGTAGGGGACAAAAAGATATGTGCTATTGGAGTGCATGGCTCACGTTACGTCACAACCCATGGCATTGGTTTAAATTGCAGCACAGATCTGAAATGGTTTGAGCATATTGTGCCCTGTGGTATTGAAGGCAAAGGCGTAACATCTCTGACCGAGCATCTGGGACGCAGGGTTTGTGTAACGGAGGCCAGCGGAGCGTTTTTGGCCAGTTTCAGTAAAGTGTTCCAATGCCGTATTGAAGAGCAAAAGACTGAAGAAAATGCGCAAGAATCAAATTAATTCAAATTATAAATTTGTTTAGTAAATTTATTTAGTCAAAACGAGCCTTGTTCAGATCACATTTCTTTGAACGCGCATCCGCAGGTACTTTTCCTCTCTTTATGGCTTCCAAACGACCGATTTCTCGCTGCTCTGCTTTCCGCATTCGTCTTTCCTGTCGTGATTCTATTGCGTTATTAAAATAACGCTGTCTGAATTCGTTGCAGGAAGGAGGTGTAGGTATCTTAGTCAAGCGAGCAGATAATTCTGTTTCATCATTATTGTACTCTTTAGTTTTCTCGTAGGTAAGTAATCGACGCGCGGTATTTCCGGTCAGAGTCTGTTCAGAATTGGCCACTAGTTGGAGGTGTGTGTGATGTGGAAGCAGTTCTTCTGAATAGTCATCACTTAAAGAAATAATATTTAATTTGACCAGCAAACATTTTCACAGAATTGCTTACTCACCGGTGAAAAGGCAGCCAGCATACGAGTCTACCTTCCATTTTTAAATGCTTTGATGCAAATTCTAGCAGATCTGTATATAAATGTTGCAGCGAATAATGTGAAGTAGATGGATAGTGGGCCATATCTGGAGTACGAGTGTTCTCCTTAGCGGTTCCTTTTGTTTCCACCTTCTCAGTGGCCTCACGTATGCCATAGGGAGCTTAAAAGTATATACATTCAATCTATAGAATCTATACATTATACAACTCTAATTACGATCGGTAATGATGCTGTCAAAGCAAAGGCGTCGATGCCAAAGCGGATTCGAGAAATCTGCCACGACCACATCCATGTAACGGTCCGCACAGCCATACTGCTTCAGATTAGAGCGTACGCTTTCGTCCTTATCACGTACCTTTTGTGTTATTCTGCTTGGCCGGCAACGAGCATGCAACATCATAAAATCTATATCGGCACCCAGGACATAGGCGCCGAATTTGGCAGCACTAACTAAAAGCGAACCAGTACCCACAAAAGGATCAAAAACCAGATCTCCGTCACGAACCATAGCCTGATTAGCCATGAGAAGACTCAGCTGAGCATCCATACTAGTGTTTCCAATAAATTTTCGTTGCTTCAGCGAAAGTTCTTTAATTAGATGCCTCTGGCCTTGTGCTAGCAAACGTCCGAACATAATGTCATCCGGAACAGGAGGTACTGCCGTAGGATCTAAGCCCCAAAATTCAATATACCACCACTCAACAAGCGGACTCTTTAGATTGACAGGGCCTTCAATAGGCAAATAATCCATGGTCTCAATCTTATCAATCTTTTCACGTTGGCTAAAATGTTTGTTGTACGACTCTACAGTTATCTTAAAGCTGATATCGGGCTTAAAATATCCGGCAACTTCAGATTTATGTGTATCCACATACGCTCCCAGCCGTTTGTGAAATTCGGGAGCTGTGTGGCCATGAGACCATAGCTCAAAAATTGCACGCAGGCAAACGCTCCGTGAAGAATATTTGAGCGCTGCCTCATCATTTGGAAACTCCACGATCCAAAAGGGTTTCTACAATAAATTATTGGTTTATTTATAAACATATTTTGTTTGGTAATTTGATGTCTTACCAATATATGATCGGTTAAACATCGAAACTGCAGGCTAAACAGCTTCACAAGTGATTCGAACTCAGCCACTCGGTGATCTACGTGCTCCTGTGCGAAATACAGTATATATTTCTTCCAAATTTTTGTCATAATATATTTTAGTTTCTTTTATAGCACGCGCGTTATTGTTTACTGACACAACTAAAAATATCATTCACAATAGACACTTTACAGGAGTTGGTCATCTGTAGAAACATCGATATCACTGCATTGCTACGTCGATAACTAAAAATTGCGCTGCCCTGCTGTCAACTCGGCCATTTTGCATAAGTCTTGAAGGCACACGTAGACTAGCCGAAGATTTTAATAAATTTTCTGCTTCAGCAGGCCTTATAGCAGCACAAACTTTGTGAAAATATCAAGTGCCGGTGCCAGAGCGTGAACTACTAATCATTTGAAAATGGCGCGTTACACCCAACGTCCGGAAAATGCTCTGAAAAGGGCCAATGGTAAGTTAGCAGGGAAAATTTTCCATGCGGCTGCGAATGGGTCGCCAAAGCGAAATGTCAAAAGTGAAATATGCAAAAATTGAGAGAATTGTTGTTTGCCGATTTCACATCTCCTTTTCGTCTTTGCAGAATTCATCGAGGTAGGAAAACCTTTGCGTGCCTTGGACACGCTTCAGGAGGTGTTCCGAAACAAGCGTTGGAATTATGCCTACTCGGAAACAGTCATTGAACCGCTCATGTTCAAGTACTTGTACTTGTGCGTGGAGCTCAAGAAGTCCCATATCGCAAAGGAGGGCCTCTTCCAATACCGTAATATGTTCCAGTTGGTCAATGTGAACTCGCTAGAGAATGTGATTCGCGGTTATTTGAAAATGGCCGAGGAGCACACAGAGGCGGCACAGGCGCAATCTTCTGCAGCTGTCGCGGTGTTGGAACTTGATGATTTGGACAATATCGCCACTCCGGAGAGCATTCTGATGAGTGCTGTGTGTGGTGAAGATGCGCAAGATCGTTCAGATCGTACCATACTATTGCCATGGGTTAAGTTTTTGTGGGAATCGTACTGCCAGTGCTTGGAGCTCTTGCGTGTGAATACCCATTGCGAGGCTCTATACCATGACATTGCACGTATGGCCTTCCAGTTTTGTTTGAAGTATAACCGCAAGAGTGAATTCCGTCGGTTGTGCGATAAGCTGCGTAAGCATCTGGAGGACATATGCAAGAGCAGCAATCAAACAACAGGCGTATCCATCAACAAGGTTGAAACGCAGCAGTTGTGTCTCGACACAAGGCTTTATCTCTTGGACTCGGCCATCCAAATGGAATTGTGGCAGGAGGCTTACAAAGCCATTGAGGACATTCATGGGCTAATGGCACTGTCTAAGAAGACTCCAGTGCCCAAGACTATGGCCAATTATTATCAAAAGCTTGCCATGGTATTCAGCAAAGCAGGCAATCAACTCTTCCACGCCGCTGCTCTGCTCAAGCTCTTCCAATTAACACGGGAATTGAAAAAGAATCTAACTAAGGATGATTTGCAGCGCATGGCCGCTCATGTGTTGCTGGCTACCCTGTCCATTCCCTTACCGTCGGCACACCCAGAATTTGACCGCTTCATCGAGGCGGATAAGAGTCCATTGGAAAAAGCGCAGAAGCTAGCTGTTCTTTTGGGATTACCACAGCCTCCTACGCGTATTTCCTTGATCCGTGAAGTTGTGAGTATAATTAATACTATATAATAATTAGTGTAATTACTTATTTGATAATTTATTTTAGGTCCGCCTAAACGTGCCACATCTTGTGTCGGACGATTTTCGTAACCTGTACCATTGGTTAGAAGTTGACTTCAACCCGTTGAATTTGTGCAAGCGTATTCAGTCTATTATTGACACAATCGAAAATGGTCCTACAGAGAATACTCTCCTAACGCCCTACATTCAATCGCTCAAGGATGTGACTATAATGCGTTTGATACGTCAAATCTCTCAGGTCTATGAGAGCATTGAGTTTAAGCGTCTTCTCGAGCTTGCCTCCTTCTGCAACATTTTTGAGCTTGAAAAGCTGTTGGTAGAATCGGTGCGCCACAATGACATGCAAATCCGCATCGATCATCAGAAGAACAGCATTTATTTTGGTACCGATTTGACTGAAAGTCAGCGGGAATATCATCCAGATGGACCGACCCTGCAATCAATGCCATCTGAGCAGATTCGTTCGCAACTTGTGAACATGTCTACCGTATTAACTCGGGCCGTTTCCATTGTCTATCCTAATAGGGAACGCGACCATCGTGCTAAGTTGCGCACACAAATGGTGCATCACTATCATGAGATCAAAGATCGTGAGCACCAGCGCATTTTGCAACGTCAAAAGATCATCGAAGACCGCAAAGAGTTCATTGAGAAGCAAAATAATGCACGCGAAGAGGAGGAAGCTCGTCGGCATGAGGAGGAAACGCGTAAGGCGAAACTCGCAGAGCAGAAGCGTTTAGAACAGGAGCAAGAGGAACGCGAACGAAAGCGTCACCTTAATGAAATCCAAGCCATAAAGGAAAAGAGCCTTAAGGAAAAGGTGCAGCAAATATCGCAGACTGCGCACGGAAAGAAAATGTTGTCAAAGCTGGATGAGGAGGGCATCAAGAAATTGGATGCTGAACAAATTGCTATGCGTGAGTCCGAAGAGCTGCAACGCGAGCGCAAAGAGCTGCAGTCCAAGCTTAAGTCGCAAGAAAAGAAAATTGATTACTTTGAACGTGCTAAGCGATTGGAAGAAATTCCTCTATTCGAAAAGTACTTGGCGGAGAAACAAGTTAAGGACAAGGAGTTCTGGGAAGCCACTGAACAAACACGAATCGAGAATGCTATAGCCGAACGCGAGGACGCAGTAAGTCAGCAGGATCGCCTTAAGCGGATGTATCCCGACCGTGATGAGTTCTTAGAAGCTCTCAAAAAGGAGCGTGCCTCTCTGTATGTGGAAAAGCTCAAGAAGTTCGAAATTGCACTGGCCGAAGAGCGCAAAAAACGTTTGGCCGATCGTGTTGTGCGACGACGCGAGGAGCGCCGTCAGGCCTGGCTAAGGGAAAAGGAAGAAGAACGTTTGCGCAAGGAAGAAGAGATCCGTCGCATTCGCGAAGCAGAAGAGCGTGCTGCAGCCGAGGCACGTCGCTTGGAACGCGAAGCCGAGGACGAGAAACGTCGAGTCCAGTATGAAAAACAACGTGCCAAGGAAGAAGAGGCTGAACGAAAGATTCAGGAGGACCGTGACCGTCTGGCCCGAGAAGTTGCCGCTGAGCGAGAGCGTGGTGAAAAGGAACGAGATGTCTGGCGTCCTCGCGGTGGCGAACGCGTTGAACGTCCCGAGCGCTCCAGTGCTGCGCCTGCAGGTGGAGCTAGCGAATGGCGTCGTGGTCCGGCGCCAAGCGAACGCAACGATCGCAGTGAACGCACCGATCGCAGTGATCGCGGCGAGCGCAATGATCGCGGTGAGCGCAACGATCGTGGTGAGCGCAACGATCGTGGGGAACGCAACGATCGCAGCGAACGCATAGATCGTGGTGATCGTATAGAACGGGGTGATCGTATTGAGCGGGGTGATCGTACGGAACGAGGAGATCGTATAGAACGCGGAGGTGACCGCAAGGACAACGATGGTGGTGCTGATTCTTCTTGGCGTGTACGCCGTGAGCCGGACTCCCAGCGTACCGGAGATCGTGGAGGTGCTGCACCTCAAAGAGATGACAAATGGCGTCGCGGAGGGGGAGAGCGGGACTTCCGCCGCAATGATGGGCCACGTCGAGAAGATGACCGTGACCGTGGATTCCGTCGTAATGATGAGCCACGTCGAGAAGAGCGTGAAACCGGAAACAACTGGCGAGACGCACCACGTCAAAATGATCGCGAAAATCGCCGGCCTGTGGGGGGCGAGAGGCGCGATAGGGATCGTGGTGCTGGCGCTGGACCAAAGGAAGGTGGTGGTGGAGGCGGCGGCGGTAATTGGCGCACGGCTCCAGCTTCTGATAAACCTGCTCCAAAGCGTGATCAGCCACAGGATAAAGGTGAGTCTACATACATTTTCCAAAGGCACAAATCTTAATTTTCTTTATGTATTTCACAGAAAACAAGGCCAGTGATGATGGCGAGTGGCAGGCCGTAAAACGTCGTTAAATTATTATCGTAGCCGCATTTGGTGTGTTGCGTATTTTTTAGTTATCGAGCATTTCGTATTCAGATTTAACAATTTCAGATTTTTTTTATACTAATATAATACATATGTGTACTTTTTACCCAATTAATTAAGCGCTTTTGACTCGCTCCAATGTTTTGGATTGCCATTTGGTACGTGCTTAAATTTAACAGTCGTTAAGAAATAAAACGGGCATTCAGCGGCATCAGCAGCACCCAATAAAGGAAAAACAATATGTAATCCACATACAAATATGGTATCTGAACAATTGAAAATTAACATACGCAACAAAAAGTAAATTAAATAAACATAATCTATACTACATATGTATACAATTCCATTTATTGCTTTTTATTTTGAAATTAGAGTTTGTGTTGTTTGAAATAACAGCCCGAGCAATCGATAAACGATATGTACGATTTGATGGTGCTCCTCTCTCTCTAGCTCTTTGACATTTCCTTTTGTGCGCAAATTTGCCGACGGTAGTGGTATTTTTTAGTTCTTTCTTAGCCTCCACCTTGCATACTAACTGCGTGGTCCACGTGAACACAATCTACGCTGCGATGTGATTCATAAAATTATAAACTAAAAGTAACGTGTAGTGAATTAGAGTACGGGATTTCGTTATATTAAAAATATCGCACTGTTGTCTCACACGCTGAATACCATAAATTAATAAATTGTGAGAGGAGTGTGCCAGTGTATGTGTTGTAGACGCGGCGCTCAACATGTGAGGTTAAAGAAGACTAACAGACGGCGGCAAAGAACTTTAAATAGAAAGTACAGCAATTTGAAGTGATTAAAACGCTGAAAGACACTTTTATTCCAAAACATAAATTTAATAATAAGGTGTGTAAGGCTTCAGATACAATTCCAAACGGATTCATATGTGTACATACATAGTAGGGCGCTTCGGCGTGCAATTTACATACACACATACATATGTTTGCCGTCAGTCTGACTATACAAATGCTTAATTCCCCGAAATAGTAGTGGCAAAACTATGACGGTTCATCTTTCGCTGTTATAAAGAAAACAGCTTTCTAAACAAAACGCTTGAATAGTGATAGTCGGTGTGTGTGTCTGTGCTTGTGAAAGGTGATAGTTATCAATAAAAAAATGTGATTGTTGTTAGGCATAAAAAAGCACATGTCGGCACCAATACATATTCATACACGTGGTAGCATTGGCGCGGGCGAAACGCACGCATACATACATATGTATGTATGCCCATACATGCACAGAACCAGCTCCGCACATCTGGTTTTGTATTGTATGTGTGCTCCCGTGTGCTTGTTGTTATTGTTATTAATGTACTTAGATTTGTTTGAAATTAAAATGGGAATATTCGCCAAAGCTTAGACAAGCCTAATTACGCTTCTCGTTTGATTTCTTAAAGGACTACTCACAATTTTTCTTTTATACAAATACCGGTTGAAAAAAAAAACAGCATGTTGCTTCTTTTAAAAACGTGGCACGTTGTTTTTTCCCTCCCTTTTGCTGCGTTTATTCGCTGCACATCGGGGCTTGCCAACTTGTTGAACGGTTCGCGCTCAATTTCAATGTTTTTAAATGTGCGCGCACGTGTTGATAGATTATTGTTTTTGTATAACTCTATTTATTTATTATAACGATTCTGTCAGGTACACTCCTAAAACCCCCAGTAGTGGTGCTTTAATCTAGTATTTACTATATTTTCGTGTTTTTTTTACACGTCTCTCGTGTTTTGCTGCTATCATTTTGTGTTTGTCTCGCATTTTTTGCAATATTTGCTCACGGTTCTTCTCCAGATCTTTAAGCTGCTGATCCACCTTGTCACACACGTCCGGAGGCATCATCACGCACCTCCAACTCGAATTATTATTTTCCGTTAAATCTATCAGTTGTGACTCGATTTGAGCGTCGGTGCCTGTGATAATAAAGTATCCGCTTTTACTAAAGACTTTAATTGGCTGGGGTGGGGATGGATAATAAGCATCTGTTACATCAGTCTGCTTATTATCTCCGTCATTTGAGACATCTCGATCTGCAGGAGCATCGTTAAAACTTGAATAAGGAGTGAATTTGACTTTTGGAGGAGTTGTTTTCGGTTCTCGAGCAAAAATAGGCTTTGTTTTTGGAGTTGTGGCATCTGCACCCTTAACTTCTTCAAGCTTTGATGCTTCAGTCTTGATGAACGCAACCTTGGCTTCTGTGCCGTTGTTATCCACAGGTATTGGTTTAATTTTCTTAGCGTTTGCAATTTGATTGGTTTGTATTTGAGTTGTTGCTGAAGGTGGTTTGATTTCTTTTGCTGAAATTTTGGGCCCAGCCTTTTTGGTAGCTGCTTCTATTTTCTTAGGAGTCGTTGGTAGCTGCTTATTATTATCAGTCTTTTTAGGATTCTGGTCCTTCAAGGCCTCAGTAGAAGAAGCCGACGAAAAGAAAGTTGAAAAACCAATACCGATGGTACTTTTCCTTATTGTCCTTATATGATTTGGGGGCGGTGGAGGAGGTGGAGGTGGTGTGATGGCTTTCTTGAGTGAGTTGCACAATACTGGTATTTTACTAGCAATTTTTTCACATGCTTTCTTTTTTGGCTGATGAGATTTCACGGTGGTTTTAAGTGAATTTGACTGGTTGTGATCTATTATTGCCACTATATTGCATCCATTACTACCTTTCTTCTTTTTGCTTTTTTTTTGCTTAGTCTTCTGCTCCATGTATTGCGTCAACTCTTCCGTTGTGTTCCGACCAGAATCTGCTGGCTTTGGGTAAGATATTTTGTTGCTAACTGCTTTTGAATCTCTGTCATTTCGTACTAATTCGATTTCTGTCACATTTTTGTCATTACTGGCAGAAATAATTGATTTAACAGGTCGTTCCAAGGTCTGTTGATTGCGCTGCATGAGTTTTCTAAGAGCCTCTTCTTCGAGCCGTTTTTCTTTTTTCTCCAGTAGTACTTTTGTAAGTTCTCTTGTACATTGCGTTTTTTTTTCTCCAACTTTCATGTCCGGCCGCGGGTCCTGCTCTTCTACTTTTAACTTTGGCTGTGGCTTTAATGTAACATATCTCCCAGAAGAGACTGTTCGAAGACGACCTGTTATGCGCCTAGAACTGTGGCTTGATTTTTGATACACAATTTTCTTGGCAATTTTATCAGGTCCTAGAGCGGCTGTTGTGTGCAACAATTTCCTGACAATCAGATCTTTTTGTTCAATTTGTGTATTTTCCTTGGTGTTACACTTATCTTTTCGAAATAGTGCCATATTTTTTTTGGTTTCAATAGGCTTAGTTTTGTTATCCGTTCCTGTAGGCTTGATTTCTTTCTGATGTGCGTTCTGTACCACAGCTCCTTGCACTTGAGGTGGAATTTTGTTTTCCCCATTTGGGTTGCCCGAATTCTTTTGTATCTTATGCACAAATTGCTTATGAAATATTAGTGGGTTTTCTATTTTTTCAACATGGTTTTCATTATTTTTCTGTGCTCTGTTTGCAAACACTTCTTGTACTAAGGACGGGTTTTCTTTTATTTCATTAAACTTGTTCTTATAAGCTTGTTCCTTATTCACAAGTTTTTCTGCGGTTCCCACTCCATCGTCTGCTTCTGTTTTATTGTGCGTGCCTGCGTGATTTTTTTTCTCTTTCTCGTTAGCTCTATTTCTCTTTTTTGCTTGAAACAGCTCCTGCACTTCCTTTTCGATCAAGCTTCGTTTGATTGTATTTCGTGTTTTTGACTCTTCCGACAACTTTTTCTCAATTTGAGATAAAATCGCAGATGTTTTTGGGCTTGGCGGTCTTGGAAGAATGCTTCTTGAACTGAATCCTTTATTATTTTTATCGGAGGTTACCGCGCCCGCTGGTAACAGCTCTGGATTCAGAGCTGTCGGCGTTTCAGATGATTCATTAGTGGACTTCATATTTACATCTTCTGAAGTAGTATTTACTGATGATTTCGCACCCAGCGAAGTCATGCTCTTAAATGGTCTCTCCATAGCGATTTTCCTCTTATTTTCCGCTAAGAGTGCTGTGAGCATTTCAGTCAAAGACGATGTGGGCTTAAATTCCTTGTTGACATCGTCAGGCGGTAATTCATCATTGTTCTGTGGCTTTTCTTCCTTCTGCGTTCTCTTAGTAGTTGATTCCACCGTAGACGCTGTCGATGGGCCTAGTTCTAGCTTTTCCTGTCCTTTTTCTGTATTGCTGCTTTCTACTTCCAGCTGCTTTCGCTTAGCTTCGGCTGCCTTCCGTTGACGCCTAGTTACAACCTTAGGAGGCATATTGACCAGAGCTTTTATTTTATTGAAATACTAAATAGTAAAATAAAGAATTTTGAAATCGTTTCTTATGTAAACTTTTTAATATATGGAATTTTGAATGGAAAAATCGAGTGTAGACGTCTTAACAGTCAAACGCTCGGAATAACTATAAGGCTTCTAATTCGGGTGACAGTTGAACGAAGTTAAAGACATTACATACTAATCTGTAGCAAAACTTGATAATAAACTAAATTATTTATGTTCTTATAGAAATTGTCCCAAGTTTTGTCTTATCATGCGAAATGTGCGGAAAATTTTTTATGAATATATTTGGGAAAAATCAAATAATTAATTTTCATTAATTGCGTACTTATCATTGCAGTAAAACCCAAATTCATAATATGGACTCCTCACGTCTGCTAAACGTTTTTCAAGAGGATGCTTTCGAGGGCAATTTTAACAAATACGAATCTGAAACGTACTTCTGGTCAAATGACAATGTAGAGTAAGTCTTTGCATTTAATTATGATCATTCAAAATTAAATCTGATATTTAATGTCTTTAATAAAATATAACAGTATAAACATGGAATTGACGGACACACTGAATGGAATTTTACCCATGTCGCCCACGGAGGACCTTTTGATGAAGCACAACGAGGAGGAGTTACAAAACAGCAAAAACATAGTAGGTGTCCGGTTAAGCGTAGAGGCAAAGCCTATAGCTATAATCTCTCCTTAACACTCGCAGCTAATCTACAACGAACTTGTGGAGCAGCAGCTTAGCGAACACGACGCCAATGAGATAAATTCACCGGTATATCAAGCCATAAGCGACAGTGTGACCGATGATGCCTTCGTGGACAGTAAGCGATCATGTATCGAAGATGATGCCGAAGAGAATGCTCCAAGTGAGTGCAGTAACTCGACATTTCGCACACGCACCGACAGCTCGTCCATAGGCGATTACGAGTCGCATTCTAGCGACTATGATGATGATGATTTCGATGATCATATGCAGCCTCCAGAAGGCTTTGTGGTGCACACTTCTGCTGTACATAAAAAGCTCAAAAGTAGAACGTTTAGCACAAATACAATTTCATCAGATACCGATGCTTTTGGTCTAAATTTTGACGCAAATAATTTTGACGCGAATAATTTTGACTTGGCTGAGTTCATCACCAAAGATGATTTCGCTATGAATATGTGCACACTTCGGCTCAAGGATTTACCGATTTCATTAAAACCACCTGCTGCTGTTTCTGAGGAGCCCATTTCAAATAAGGCGGAGCTCGAAGTATTGGCCGTATCCGAAACTTTGCCTCAACCAATTATTGTATCATCAAAAAGTATCGATTCTGATGATGATAACGATTCGATCATTGACGTGGAGACAATTGATATAGATGAGTCTTTGTGGGTGCAAGGCAAAGCTAGTGATATGAGCTTTATAGATAATGTAAAAGATGACCCATCCTGGTGTCCCAAGCAAACAAAGAAGTCTAATGGGAATTCTAATACTATCAAAGAGGTAAATAGGAAGAGATTTAAATTTGAGATTTTTATTGAAATAAAACTTTAAAATAAATTAATTAAAATAATTGAGATTGACAAAATGAACCTACTATATAAACGGTGATATGGTTTAAAAAGATGTAAAAAGAGATTTCATTTAAAATTGTTCGAATATATCCCTAAAAATTATATTTAATTATTTATATAAACATATTTTATTTCTCTAGCAGAAAACAACACAAACCTCAACTATTGACTGCAATAGCAAGACAGCAGAGGCTTCTACAACCAGAAAAACAACATCAACAGTAGTTGGAGCAACACACAAGCCTAAGACAAGTAAAAATATTTGTTTGGTGCCGAATAAAAAACAATGCGATATTCTCAAGCGCAAAGTCGGCACAAAAACCCCAAGCACAGCAACAACGTTGGTCAAGTCCACAAAAGCGGCTGCCAAAAAATTGCAAGAAGCATTAAAAGCAGCAGCAACAATAACAACACAGTCTACTAATGCCAAGGCCAATGTCGAGGCGCGCAAAGGTGTGGGAATTGGTGGCAAAAATTTGGCACTGATCAAGCAACAGCGCGACAGTATTGGTGCTGCTCCTAATCATGAAATTTGTTCTAATGAAGAAACATTGCCGAATGGACAGCTTCCGGTAGCTGAAAACACACAAAATACAACGACGATAATTACGCCTGATGCACCTAAACGTAAACTTAATTTGGAGGAGTATAAACAGCGACGTTGTGGCGGTACTTTTGCCACCAGACCTTTCATAAAGTCAGAAGTGCTGCCCGATAAGATAGCCAAGCTGGACACAAACACCAGCAAAGCGGCAACAACAACACCTGTAGTCTTGGCAGCGACAAAAGTGCATCCATCGCCACACAAAGCAGCCATCAGCAGCATTGTAAACAGTCTGAAAAATCAAGCGCCGCCAGCAGAGACCCCCACAGACCCCATTACGGTGGCCAGGAACAAGGTATTACGCATGCTGGAGATGAAGCGTGCACAGCAACTCAAAATTCTGGACTCACGTGTGTCAGCGAAGGTTCCGCGCGTGACGAAGTTGCCGCCATTGAAAGATATTGTGAAGGACACCTATTGCATGGATACTAAATCGGAGGAAGCACCTCAGCCTGTCGTGATTAGTAGTAGTAAGGTGCATACGGACTACGAGGAAATTATAATAGTGTCGGCTAGTTGCAATACTGATATAACGATACCACCGTGCCATATAAGTGTTGCCTTAAAAGATAACAAAGTGCCGCCCAATTCACGCTCTCTACTAAAGTCTTCTGTCCTTTTGTATAACATCTCCAATAGCAACGACGGCCCCACAAATTTAAATAACTCGCTTATCGCAAGTATTCAATGCGAAGTGGTAAAGAAGACAAGTGGTGCCCTGAATATGAACACAACAGCAGCTACCCCTGAGGCTGATCCTCAGTCAACTGATAAGAATGCACAGCATGGTGAAGACATGGTAATTATGCATTTGCCTAAGGATCGCGTGCGCAAACAGCAAGTCAGTATGGCAACCCAAACTGAACTGCAGCCCGAATTTCCGTTGCTGGTGCTGCCCACTATTAAGCGAAAGTCGCGTGATCGTACGCGTTGTGTCTATCGTAAGCGTCGCAATAGTTCTACCGGATCAGAGGAGTCAAGTTCTTCGAGCACCTCATCGTCTGCAAGCTGCAGAAGTTTAGAATCCTGCCGTTCGAGATCGCATTCACGTTCCAATTCAATAGAACGATTGCGACACATGGATGTTGCGTCGGCCACATGTGGCAATAGCAGTAGTGTGGGAGGTGGCGGCTATTCGTCGCGCAGTACCCATCGCCATCGCAGTTCGGTTAGTTCCAGTTCCTATTCTGAGGCAGGAAAATACGAGCGAGCGCAAAGGCGCCAGCGTCGTACCAGTTACAATAAGCGACGCTCGAAAAAACACACACGCTCCACATCCTCTACATCGGGTTCGGAGTACAGCGATCGCAGTCGCAGTCCCATCCGTCAGCGACGTTCACGTTCACGCTCCAATTCGGACACTCGCTATGGGGAAGGAGGCAACAAAAGCCATAACAATAACAATCGTCGTAGCTTTGTTGATCGCAATGTGTCCCAACCAGGTAAGTCTCATCATTTTCTGTACCAGTCTTATGTTTATCATATTATTCTTTCTTTTTACAGCTGTTGAGGAACGTCGTATTGTGTACGTGGGCCGCATTGAACAGGAAACCACGAAGGAAATGCTGCGTCGTAAATTTGTATCTTATGGCCCAATCAAACAAATCACAATACATTACAAAGAAAATGGGTGAGATATATAGAATATAGTTGAATTTGTGTCTTCGTGTCCAACCGCAAGTTGGGAATATTATATATTATACTCAGTTTATATCGAACTATATATCGTAAATATTAAAAATGTCTTAATTTTCCAATGTTATTTAACATACGTTTTTTAAATGAACAGTTATCGCGAATGTTTGATTTGAGTATTAATTACCATAGAATATAAACTAAATTAACTTTCGTTTCCTTGCAGCATGAAGTACGGGTTTGTTACCTATGAACGAGCGCAAGACGCCTTCACGGCCATAGATACTAGTGCCAGAAATACTCAGATCAATATGTATGACATTAGTTTTGGCGGACGAAGAGCTTTTTGTCGTGCCTCCTATGCCGATTTGGGTAAGTGCCTACCGAATTACATTCTGTCTTTGTCTTGCTAACCTCTGTGTACGGATTTAGATAATGCTGGTATCAACAACTACCACTCGTATGTATTTCCAACGGCCGTTAATGCCCCTCCCAAACAGGAGGACTCTTTTGAGGCTTTATTGCAGAAAGTGAAAGCGAAAATGAATGCAAGCAAGCCAGCGGCAGCTGTCACCACAACTACGCCAGCAACATCGCCCGAAGCTATGGTTGTCTCATGCGATGCGCCTATCAATGCAACAAATAGAAACGTCAACAGCAAAGAAACTGAAAAGAGCTGTCAAATTTGACGTTTTTGTTATGACGTGGATATATTTGTATTTTTTTATTTATGATTTGCCTGATTTCAGGTTGAGCTTAACTGTAGTAGACATATGTGAAGTTTCTATCTGTAGAACGGAAAAGCCTGATTATGAATCATAACTATGTATAACTTATTGTAAAAATAGTTGACAATTACATTGCGAATTTTTGAAAATTTAAAACAATACTTATGCGTCATAGATACATACATACATGAAACACTCACTAGTTTTGTTGTGCATGTTTTCTAATAACAGCGAATTGGAAATGGAAATGAAATTGTGATAAGAGCGTAATACAAAGTCATTTGTTGCAAATAAGTTAGAAGATATGCAAACAAAAATTTAAGAAACAAAAAAATAAACCTAATAGCAATAGTACTCAAAACTTAAAAAATGTTTATACAAATGATAACCAAACCCAGACCGTTGTTTATAGCCAAAACAATTTACAAACAAATGCATACATACAAATCCGAAAAAGTAATAGAAAAGAACTATATTATATATAGAGCAAGGACGTTGCATGCTGCATGCAATAGTCACGAATTAAACTGTTGATAACAAAACTTTGATATTAGTTTGTAAAGAAAATATTTTGTATAATTTACTGAATATGTTTTGTACGCGCCATAGCAGTAAATACTTAAATATGCATGAACCAGAGATAAACTTGCGCAGAGAGCAAAAGAAAACAAACATACTTTAATGACCTAACAATATCATAATTTTTTACGGATTTAGAATTGAAATTTGCAACCATATATATAGATACAAAATGAAATTAAATTGTTAAATTATAGAACTGTTGTTAAATGAAACTTTAAAAGTGGCTCTGTAAGTTAAAGGCATCTTTTATATTTCATTTCATTAATATTATTTCTTCTAAGTTGAATACAACAACAAAATTTGTCTACTAAAACTTTTGAACAATCTATAGAATATTTTATAATTACTCCTATATTTATACATATGTATATTTAATTTAGCCAGAAAACGATTCACATATGTAGCCAACAAATTGTATCTTAAAGAATTTTGTACTACTTCTTTTTTATAATTTTACAAATAGTTGCAGAAAATTGAATAAAGTGTAAACTTTCAATGAAATACCTTCGAAACACTTAAAGATGGGTGAATACGGCTAAATCAATAAGCAACCACCGGCAGCAGAAACAGCTATTCCTTCAACTTAAAACCCTAAACGCATACAAATTCCAAGCACGTCCAACAACTTTGCATTTATACAGAACATTTGAAGTAGCGCTCGCCTGCGTTTTGCATAATTTTATGTAAATATTTCGTTCTGTTACTTTAACGCTTCAACAGCCAAAGTCGAATGTTGCGAAGGCGCAAAAGAGAGCGCGACCGTGACGCATTTGCCAAAATGCACTTTAAATGAAAAGTTTCAACAGTTAGATGAACAATTTTTCATTGAAAATATCCAGCAATCGATGGAACGCGCGCTTGCCCTTGTTGGCAAGTTATGAAACAAAGTTATGACGAGCGAAAACTCAAGTGCTTGGAAAACAGCTTTACTTATTGGCGAACTTAAATAATTTGTACAGAGTTTTCAAATTAAATTAAAACTAAAGTCCGGAGTATGTTTGTTGTTTGAAATCGATATCGTTTTAAAAAGAAATACTACGAAGTTAATGATGCCACTTATTCTATGTCCTTGGATAATTAAAGGAAATTGTTTGACTTGAAATATATTTTCGATTTAATTTTCATGCGCGTTTGAACTTAGAGGTACAAAAATATACTCTTATACTACTTTGTTATTCGAGTATTACATCTGAAGTATTTAAATATTCCATTTAATTTTTCTCTTACCAATCAGCAAAAGTCCAACGAAATCATTTTTAATCTACCCCTCTATGCATGCATGAGCCCATTAATGGTCCCAAATTTACATTCCAAGCCTGTACTTCCCCTCAACGGCCATTGTTGTTAGGTTATTCGTACAATATTTTTAAAAGAAAGACGAACGTTCCCCGGCTCTTCTCTTGATCCCAGACAATTTTGAATTGATGAGAAGATAACTGAAAACTATTAAATAAATTTAGAGTGAATGTAACTCCTTTAATAGAAGCGAGAACAGGCTAATGTGTACTCCAAATTTGGCTTGTTCCTTGCTTGTACATATCTATGTCGACTCATCTTGACATACAGATCAAGCATCTACATATGCTGTGTATGCTCAGTCATGGATTAACTGCATTCTCCATTGGTCCTTCAAATGACTGCATGGGTTTGGCGATTGGCCTTGGGCAGAGCGCAATTAAATGATTTATTCAAAATGTGAGAAGACCCCATATTTTTTCCCATATTCCGTTCGTTGTCTATCTGCTCTACAAAAATACATACATATGTATAGTATGTATGTATGTACGCTTTTAAAGGCTGGCATCAGAGACTCTCTTCTTTTTCTTTGTTGTTATGGTCAGTAGCTGTCGGCTATTTGGCAATTTGTGCTACCGTTTTCGTTTCATGAATGAGGATATATGTGTGTGTGAGTGTGTGAGTTGTATGTATGTATGCCTCTTTGTTTCGTTAGCTACGTTTTGTTTACGGTTAAGTAAGTAAGCTTTTTCAAATGAAAAACAAAATCCGTAGTATATTTTCAGGCTAGCAGAAGAACACATTCCACTCACACACACTAATTCATATATACTCATATAAATGTATACATTTGTACACGTCAGTGTGGCAAGCAGGGACAAATTTGCCTGAGACTGTGCCTGTGCCTGCGTAGCCTTTTCAACAACTTTTCAACTTTTTCCTTGAGCTCGCTCTCTTTTATTTTCGCTTGGATCCTAAACAAAGCATACCTTTAGCTTATAATCCGACATATTTTATGCTAGCGCAAAGAAAAATATAAATCACTTCTACGAACTTTGTCCACGGAATGATGAAAGTACACACATACATATGTATACACATGGGCAGTCCTGCACATGCTCGTATTTTAAGGCCTATGCTTCAGATGGGATTTACGCTTTGAAGTTTATTGACTTTCATCTGCGGTTGTGGACTTTGGTTTGAGATTTTTTTCTGTGTTCCAAAGAATCAATGAAATGATACATCGTATAATTGTGGCATTAAAATTTATGATGCATAATCAATAGCAACGCAAAAGTTTGAGAAAATGCTTTAAGTTCGTTGAAACGAAATTACATCACTAAATTGTTATAAAAAGCATTGCCGTTAAATTTGTACTCGTGGTTTTATTGAAGAGCAGTCATCAAATATAAAGGCACATGTCAATGATTTTCAGACTCAATCTCATTAGTCTGCGCCATTTTTAAAAGACAAAATCAATAATAAGAATTCATAGGATGATATATGGATGTAACTTTGTACTAATGTACGAGTATATAGGAATGTCTGTATGTCACGTAATGTTGGGCGCCAGCCGCTCATTTGCCCACATTTGCATATTTAATTTAAGATAATGGAGAAATTGCAACGCTTTCCCTGGAGAGCTTAGTTACGCATAATTAGAAGGCGCGATGGTTGATTGAAAAGTTTATTTGCAATGAAAAATGTATGTTTAAAACCCGCAATTTTTATCAGGGAAGAAGACATGACAATCAAGAATTTAATCACAAATATATCCCTTCTCAGTCGAGGATCTTGAGTTTCCACCTGCACGTCTCAACTATCGTAAGCAAGGCTATGCGTGTAAGTTTGAAGAACTTAACAATCTGTGCACTATAAAAAACGCGTTTAACTTCCTTTGGTTGTCCCGTCCTGTAATAAAGAGGAACTACTATTAATGCGTTTGGTTTGTGCAATATGAAATGAAGAGGCCTAAAAGCAATTCTTACATGTTGTCCTTCGTGGATTAAGCTCCAGCTTTTAAATCCTCATCTTGGTTTTCCAACGTTCTTAATTTAGACCATCCTTAGTGTTGTTTTTCTAATACTCTTTTCTCGGAACATTTATGTAGTCTTAACTTCTTTGTTAACCATGAGCCAGCTAATTCTTACTTACTGCTAATCTTGTCTAGATGCACAACTGTCTGCTGTTCGACTGTCTGGCCGACTATAATATAAATAATATTTATACAAGAATACTATAGTATATGTTGTAATATACTATATGTTGCTCTATTGAGCTTAGATCGCATTTATTTATTTATAATCATAAACAACAAACAGCAAATAGGGTACAATAAATAAATTTATATAATAATAAATAAATAATATAATAAATAAATAAAACATTGAAAGAGATATACAAATTAGCATATATTTATGTTACGATTTTATAAAGCAGGGTAGTTTGGGATCAACCTCCTCAACCACATATTCATAAGCCAGTAAACACATAAGTCTGTGCGCGTCCTGACACCTCCCTCCAGCTTTCATGCAATACAGCAGACGTTAAGTTCCACGGAAACTCTCAAGAAGTTTTATTCGCTGCGTCTAACAAGTTTTCATACATATCTAATTAAAAAGCTCAAGTCCAAAGTATGATATTGTTCGCCTGCGTGGAACAGCGTCATATGTATAGTATACTCATCATTAAATATGTATGGTGACTTATTTGAAATAATTAAAATTAATTGCACAGTTTTGTCAACCAATATACTTTCATAAATCTCCGAGTGCAGCAAGCAATGAAACTCAGTTTATATTATACGGGTTTATATCATGCTCGCATTTGCGTCTCCATAGTTATGGCTCTATTGACGTGCAAGCAATATTGTCTTTTTTATCGCCCTTGCCACCATATTGCTACCATCATCATTAGCGTAAAATATTCAAGTGCATACTATGTATTTGCTTAGCTTTTCGCAATTCCATTCCACCCACCTTCTACCACTTACAACAGTTGCACTTTCGCTCGATTGTAGTTGCGACTGTTTCCAGGGCTGTGGAAAATACTAGCAATGAAAAATAAACATACTTATGTATGCTTTAAGAAACCTTATCTATGAATTCATTTGAATAATGGTTTCATTTTAGAAGATACAAATATCCATAGATATGGATAGTATCCATTATTGTATCTTTTAAATATACAAAAAAAAAAACTCGTATTTTAGCCCGCTTTAACAATCTTTATGTCACAAATATTAGCCCCCAAGGTTACACAGATAACAAAAAGGGAAAAGTTTAAAGTGAACTTCCCTTTTCTTTTTCTATGGAGAAAGGCTTCCATACAGATTTCGGTGCACCGTTTGGCGGAATAGCAACAGTTAAACTTTTCAAAATGTATGAAGATGGCAAGACGCCGTCATTTACATATTTAAAACACAATTGACCTTTGTATAATATTTCGATCTGCATATGAAAGCCATATTAGCATTGGTAGCTCAGCTGAAATATGTTATAAAATTATATGCCACATCGCTTCAAATGCTGCCTACAATTTATTTCAATGAACTCGGGCCTAAAACGAATTAGTTGCGACTTTTTACCTGCACAATCCTGTGGGCCATACATTTCATGAATGTTGAATGTCCCCCTTTGTTTAATTTAAAGACTTAAAGACGCATTGAGTTGTTGTTGCATTCACTTAGACAATGTTGCTTGACAGCCTTGTTGCAGTTGCCGCTACAATGGCAACAAAGACAATGACACAAGCAGAAGCTTGAACAACAACAAGAAAAACAAGTAAATCGCGCATGTCCGACTTTTGAATACCCTTTATTCACGTTTTCTCTGCTAAAGTCGGTCAACTAAAATAAACGTGGCTTCTTAAGCTTTAGAATATGTTGACCAATGGCGTAGCCAGCTTTTACCAAAGGGGGGCCAAAAAATTAAAATATTGATTAAATAATGCCCGATTCATTTAAAAAATAATTTATGCATATAATCGATGAAAAAACTTCAACAAATCCAACGCAGATCCATCTTAAGGCGAAATAGTGCGTCATAGTAATGAACGTGTGGTCGACTTTATATGGAAAAATTTTTTATAGGGGGGGCAATCCTATCCTATCCTATCAATCGTTCAGCTGTATAAAATAAAGAGCCTATACATGGCTTAAACTAAACTTGCTATGCGTACTAGCTATAGATGTCTACATACCAAGTTTGGTGTTCCAACGCACAAACGGACATTTCCATATCGATTCGTCTCGTCCTACTAATCTTATATATGTATAAAATATGTAACGTGGGTTCTGTCTGTAACAAACATGTGGCGTTTAAACTTTCGAGAAATTCCTGTAGCCCTTCGGATAGAGGGTATTACAATAATTGCTAGGGTCGGAGAAAAACCACAACAAAGCTTTAAAATGTTTTGCTATAAAGCTTCTGTTTCTGCTTCCTTGCTTCCACAAAATGCCAACCAACCAGCTCTGGCTTTTAGCAGCAATAAAAGCAAATAGACGTGTCGTGTCTTGTCGCTCAGTAAAGGTACATACAAGTAAACATATGTGTGTGTGGATTTTCCGGAATTTTTATCGTTCAAACGTATTGTGTGTACATTGTTTTTTATGCCTGGCCCAACCGACACTTGTGGCTAACATTTATGTATCGCGTGCGTTATTATTGTTGGCTTCGTGTTTTCGCTCCTGTCAGAGCAGTTGCTGTTGTTGGGCTTAAAAGCCCGGTCAGCAAAAGAACAATAACGTAAAATGCTATTAACAAAAATAACAATAGCACGCACTGCTGCTGATGGCGATGGTGATGATAACATTGAAGGCAGTGACAAATAACACAAACGAACATAAAACGTGGCCGGTCAAATGAAAAGTTTACTCACGTGCTTCGCTCTACGGACGTACATTCAAGCGAGGCATGTCAGAATGCATCCTATTACCAATATTGGACACCCCCTAACGAAACAAAAGTTTATAAATTTCTGAGCACCTCAGATGACTATGTAATTGAAGCTGTACTTCTTATACACTTCGTACTATATATTCCAACAAATGCTCGCTAAACAACTTTCACTTTGTCGATGGTCGGTCTGCTATCTGCTCGTCTGTCCGTCTCAATGATTCTCAATGGAACATAGTTTATGAATCAACAAATTGCTTATTTCTAAAAATATATGTACATACAAATTATTATTATTATTACAGGGTATTACACTGTCGGGCTTGCTCGACTGTAGCGTTCTCTCTTGTTCTTTCTCCGGTAGTCGCCAGTTTTTCGCTAGCAGTGATGTTTCTGGTTCCTTATTTTGGTGCATTTCAACATACGATGCCCGATTGTAGGCGACAATTACGTCTGTACTTGTATTACTTGTTGGTGGCTAAAGTAATTGCAGGCCAATCGTTTAACTTTTGCCATCTGACTGTTCTACTTTTAATTGCGCAGTCAGGTCAATCTAATTGCTTGGATGAGCACAAACATCAGCACTCGCGCAGAAACAGACAGACATAGACGCCGACGCAGAGACAGACATTTGTATTTAACTAATTTATGTTTTTGACATTTATCAGCGACGCATGTGACGACATCTGAGACGATGGCATGGGCCTCCCCGCCACCCATGTCTGAAGCAGTCGCGATGCGCCGAGGGCGTCTGGTCTGCCTAATTGTTTGTGCAAATTCGCAATCGCAAACAGCTGACAGACTTCACATTGACAATGTGTCATATTGTAATTTACAGCTATTGTGCATATAACCGTAAATCGCGTCTGAGTTCACTTTTATGGGTGACACTTGAATTGAAATTGTTGTTGATATTGTTGTTGTTGCTGTTGCTATTGTTGCTGCTGCCTCTTGGCAATAAAAAAAGTTCACATTTAGAATAATAATAATAAATTGTCGGACAATAAATGAGTGTGTGTGTGTGTAAGTATAAGAAATAAAAATAAAGGGAGAGTAAAGCAAAGCAAACTAATTACGTTTTTATTGTGACGCCCAAGCTAGTTTCCTTTGTGCTACGTATACGCTATTTCTCGGAACACAAAACACGTGTGCGCCGCACAATGGGGCCCTCTGGCTCTTTGCGCTTCAAAATCATAGTATTCGAGGTCTGAATATATTTCCCACGTATCGCATTGCTAGTTGACCAGCTATGTATGTACTATATATACTCGTACATATATTCGTAATCAGCATGACGAGAGTAATCGATTGTGACATGTCCGTCCGGCTGTTCTTCAGTCTGGATGAACGCCTGAGTGTACCTTGACAAGACTTGGTATATAGACTCTCCTAGTACCTAGGCAACACGAGATTAAAGAATTGAATGCATAGTTTAATTCATAATTATGCTATAGAATCGAATTTAAAATACAACCATTCTTTTAATAATATTGCAGGCTTCGAAAAGTTAACTCAAACTAGAAGAAGAGAGAAAGAGTGTCCAAAGTGCCATTCTATTTCACTTTCCATTTCTGTTTTTGTGAAGTAATTCCAATGGATGCTTCACAGTGGTACGTGAGCGCCTAGGTATACCTTTTGTCTAGGCAACAACAAATAGAAAAACTAAGACTTTTTCAAATTACGTATGCTCTGTGCTTTTTTGTTCGGTTGTGTGTGTGTGTGTTTTTTTTTTGCTGCTGTTGTTCCACTCACAGTCAACTTCTTATGGATGAAACATTTCACAGTCACATGCACGGCACTGCTGTTGTCCCTCACCCTTCGGCCTCCCTTTCTAGTCGACCCAACAGGGCCCTGTTGTCTGTGTGTCTGTTTGGAGGCTGCGTCAGCTACAGTAACAAAACCAATAAAAACACAACTATACTATATGTGGCTTTTGTGTGTGGGTGTGTGTGTGAGTGGTTCATCGAAAATTGTGTCCCTTGTGTTGGGACTGCCTTTGCCATTGTGTCATTTCACTATCGCAAAAACAATGATGCATTTGCATGCCCCGCTTTGCGCTTCAAGTCTCACTTATGTCACTCATTGCCTCTGAAATGACTCGAAACTTGATTCACGTCTCTTCCTCTATGCATATCCACAAATACAGATATATGAGTCTATATGTACAGATGTATGTATGTATTTACGACAAAACATTTACCGACAAAAGCTTTTTGCTGTTGTTGGAGCCAAAAGTGTGTGACGTGTTGTTTATCGCACTCTTGCAGTCGCTCGTATGGTTTTGGTTTTTTTTATCATGTCTTGTGTAAGTGTAATTGTGTTTGTATGTATGTATAGTATACATATATGTACATGTGTCCACCGGTATGTGGTTAAATTTATGCGCAAAAATGTATCTTGCGCGCTGCTTAGCATAACATATATGCCCCAATTTATATAAACTAAATAAATTTGTGAATGGTAGGGAGTGTCTGGTCTTTTAGACGTACAAACATTGAAATATGAGCTTTGTTTTTCAAAATGTAATTAATGAGTTACCAAGAAATCTTATGAATGGTGATGCATATACTTGTACATACGTGTATAAAAGATATGATTACAAATACCTGCAATACTGTATACTGTATTAAGGGAATGAGAAGCTATTAATTTTTAACAGTCCAATTATGATTGAATTAAAGTTGGTAACTGTTTTTTAAGAAACATAAAAAGAATTTGAAATAACTCAAGCTCGCAAAGAAAACACTTTTAAAGGCATCCCAATTATAGTTGTATTACGGTTTACGGTCAAGCTTGGTATCTTTAAATGCTCTAAAATCAGCACCAAGACACATTTACTCAACTTATTGTATTTTCCATAGGGGCTTCTCTCCCATTCTTTTGCTAAAATGTTAAGCACTGCCAAATAAATTTTTTGTTGCATACCTAACAGGCGCCAGCAGTTGGCATTCCGTGTGGCAGAGCATTTTAAAAGCAACTTACACAAATATTAGCACACGTTCCGATAAATGTGAGCTGTTTGGAACATGTCCAAACACTTACTGCGCTGAAATCCGTGCGCTTGTATAACAAATGTCAGACGGATGTGCGCGTAATTGTAAAAGCAACGCCCACACAACAGCCACATTTTCAGCTGTATTGTGACGGCGTTGGTCAAAATAACAATAACAACAACAGTTAAGTTATACTAACAGAGCAGTTAGTAATGTATTGAGGACTGCTGCACTGTCACTTACATGCCCTGCAGGAGCCATTCAGGCTAACACAAATTGATTTTAAAGCGCAACTTCCGGCTTGTTGTAATGCTGCCAATTTTCGCAGCATGTTGAAAGTCCCACATTATAACGGAAGCCAACACTGAATGCAATAAAGTTGAAGCTTAAAGGGTAATCCAAATCCTTACATGCCACTGATGGTTTTCATTACTCGTGCTTGCAGTTATTACATTTTTCAAGAACTTGCATTTACCGCTCAGCTCAAAAATTTCCATAAACACTTGAAGCATAAAAACAAAGTACAAGTACAAACCCACGGCCTTTTATGTGGGCGTCTATGCAGTTGGAACATTTACCCAAGGCCCACTTTAAAGCCGCTCTTTTGCAGTTGCCTCTGTGGCCAAAGCGCTTGCGCATTTCTAGAGACACAGGCTAGTCCAAGTATTAAACGCTCGTCGGCTTCAGTCTTGTTTTGGCCATTCAGCCATATGGTTCCTGTAACTAGCTTTCCGAGTCGGTGATTGTTTGCGTCTATGCGTATAGCGCGAACTCTAATAAGGCGTAAATCAGAAACCCACTGCGTGTTTTTGTGTGTGCTTTGGAGGCAATAAATATCACTTACAAACAAGCACACAGACAAACGGCATTATCTTGAGGTTAAAGCGACTTAAACTCTGGTGCTAATCTAAAAAAAAAAACTTAGAAACGAAAAGAAAATTGTGTGCGTGTGAACAAATAGAATGCGAAAAATGTGAGAATTCCGTTCCTGCCCGTGTCAATCAATGAGATAAACAAACAAAAGTAGATGGAAAAGCTAACACGTGCGTATTATTTGTTTTACTTTTTTACTTTTGTGTTCGCAAGCCAATACCAAATTATGTATGTGTTAAGTCAATGGGAAAATACTTTATGCACAAATTAATTAGACTTGGCGGCACTTTACACTTTGTTAAGCAACAAATACATACACGTAGGAAAACAAAGGACATCGAGTGTTTAAAAGTTGGCAGCTGTCGTGCCTGTCCCCAGAGCGCTAATTGAATTTGCTCAATCGCACACAATATATATACTTGTATACTATGTATCTGTAAAAGGGTCCTGCGTACCAAATACAATGAAATAATGATTTATTTGGCACGTCATGTTGGGCTCAGGTCAGGTTACAGATCTAGGCGATTTGTAGTGTCAGCTTCTCACATATGCCCAAGGGTTGTACATTAATCAAGAGCGACACACACACACAATTCTTTACTGATTAATCTGCATCATTAGTAAGAGCTGGCATACTTTGAAACGAAACACACAGTGCGTATGCGTAATGCATATAATTTATAGTTTAATTTACACACAAATTTCATTTCCCCTTGCGTGCTTGATTTTCTTTTGTTAGCCCTCACACAGGATATTATTTTTTCTCTTTTATATTAATTTTTTGCCGCTTCGCTTTGCTTTTATTCAAGTGTAGGCTTGTAAAAGTCAAAAACTGCCGGGGACGTAGATTGAAGTGGAAAGGAAATTAGCATTTCATACAGATTTGCTGCTCTTGACTAACAAGAACTTTTGCGGTGCTTTGATGTCTAGCGTTTAGGACGAAATTAGTGTGCCGAAGTGGGCGTTCATTTGTGGCCTCGTTTTGTTTTTGTTACTCTTGACAGCCTAATTACAATGGACGGAACGATGCCTAAATTTTTTACACTGACATGCTTCTTTATACTTAAAGCGCATTTAATAAATCCTTATTAAATAAGTTCTTTAAGAATATAAGACAAGATGTTCTTAACAAATTAAATTAAAGATTGCCCAAATAATTTTTATGGTATTAATAAGAGAATACTATACATACAAGTATATGAAAAATGTTTATCCAGAATTTTAAATAGCAATGGTCATCCAAATAACTGACCTGTTCAGATAAAGCAAAGAGCGACCTGGAAAATGCTATCTCAATAGCTCGGACAATTAATACAAACACCCACTGCCATTGTATACTCTTGTAACCAGGCACTACTGTTACTTTCCTCCGTAATGATCTGAATATTTTGTTTTGTTTGTTGTTGTTGTTGTTGTATTAAAAACACCAAACACCAATTATTTTACGTACTTAGAGTGTAGTGAGTGGTTAGCTGTTATCTCAGCGACTTCAGTACTGTCTTTAGATGACAGCAGCATTGGCGATGCAGGCTGTGAAGACTGAGTTGATGTGCGAAAATAACAGAGTGTGAGACGAATAATATTTCCAATGATTCAATAAAAGATGACAGATAAGAAATGGAAAATACTGGTTTGAAAGTCGTGACGCAGCATAGATGTTGCAGCCCCTGACCTTCTTCAATGAGACCATGTAGTGGCCCTTTGGAGAAAAAGAATGCAGCTTCGCTTTTTGATTTTTTTTTTGTAGCTGTAGCTATTTTTATGACCTATACTTAAAGGGTATAAGATTATACTACTTTTGAGCAAGTGTACATGTAACACACAAAAGAAGACGTGTATGAGAAGATCAGTATGACATGACGAGTCGATAGAAATCTCCGTCGGTGAGTCTGTGTGCCTGTCTGTATGAACGCACGGATCTAGAAAAGTTTAAGAACTAGAATAACCAATCTTGGTATCTAGAAGCTTGTATTTTTTTCTTCTGATGCATCGCCCACTTGCCCACTATCGGTGATTTGCCATCAGCCCAATATATCTTTGAATTTTTACTCTAATTTGGCAGCTACATTTTATAAGTGATAGAGCAATTTTAAAGGTAGTTGAAGCCATAAATGAATCGCTGACCAAGCCCTGCTAGCAGCTGTTGTTGTTGTTGCTTAACTCTGCTTTGGCTTAACTCTGTTCTGCACACATACACGCAAAGACTCGCAAGGCACGCATACAAGTAGACTGAAAAAAACGTATTTAAGAGTTCGTGTTTTAATCAGCTTTAAGCAGTAAATTTCGGTAAAAGCTCTAACAGTAAGCTCATTATATGGAGTATTAAGAAAAATCTTTAAGTCAACTCTCAAACTGCTATGCAGTGTTTTTTAAAACTTTAATGCGGACGCTTACCATTTAAAGTGATGCTGTGCACGTGATCGATGAAACATACGTGTCCGACTGTTTTGTATGTTACAAGTAGCTGGAGGAATTTACTATTAAACTGAATTCGTTATACGAGTATATGCATACATACAAATAAATATGTATAGTATATATAAAAAATATAATAGCAGCAACGTGGCTCGTTCCTTTTTATGACACATTTTTCGCTTATATTGAATTTGATTGGTTTTTATGACCGTTCGATTTGTTGATAGCATCGGGGGAAGTTTCTTTTCTTTCTTTATTACGATTATACTTATTCGGGGATGGTGACGGTCTGCGTGATGTTATACTTGAGGGGCATTGAAGCATATTGAAGTAGTGGAATGTAAGCAAAAAGTTGTCGGCCATAAATGTGTCGCTCTCCAGTAGGCAGGTGAAGCAATATTATGATGACTTTCAATACAATTTATCCCTTTTATTGGTCTCAAAAGTACGTTCGTGAACAGACAGAATTGTTATTTCTGCACAAAATGAAAATATGGAGAGGCTACATAAGGCTAAGTGTTATTGAAGGTGTATGCAATAATTGTATTACAGTCTTGACTGGTTCAATAGAAGGCAGTACAGAAGGCATGGATTAAAAAAAAAATGTTAAAGTAAAGAAACTAGACACTAAACACTAGACTATTTAGTGTTAAAGGTAGTGTCTAATGACCAACAAATTTCAAAATTGATTTTTTTTTTTGGTTTAGCTGTTCGAGCAGCGCCATTGCTGGAAAACCGCACGAAGCCGTAATTAAAAGAAAACTTTCGAAATCTAAGCATAAAACGTTTTGTTTAAACTTTTACGTACAACATAAATGAGCTGCATGATGCGAGACAGTAGCTGTAATAAAACCTTATCTGCTCTACCACATTCAGCAAACTGTTCATTCATCAATCTAAATGATTTACCACTTTATACGAACACTCACTACATATGTAGTTACCCTGAAAGTTTGGGCCCAGTGGTGTCGTAAAACCAACGACCGCATCAAAGTGCCTTTTTATCCATGTTGCAAGTTAATTGCCAGCGTTTTAGATTCAAATATGCGACGCAACGAATTAGTTACGACAACGACGCCGAAAGCGATAGAGACAGACAGCAACACACCCATGCATAAGCTCGTATACTGTATAGTACATAAGCATAATAACAGGAACAACAACGAACAGCGAATAACGAGAGGAAAAACAAACACTACACTTAGTCATTTGGCATTCGAAATGGCATGGCAGCAGTCGAGTTATTTGGACAAATATTTGTAAGAACTTGGCCCAATCGACGACTTTGCAGTTTGTTGACTGGGTTTCAAATTACCTCCCAAATGCTAAAAGCCAGAAATGGCTCATCGTTTTAATTGGTTTCCATTTACTCGAGACACAGCTGTAAGTGATGTCAGCTATCGAAATTTCTAATACTACTTGAAGTGCAGACAAAGCTGATGAGGCTAAAAAGCTGTCAATTTCAACAAACACACACTCACACTTACACACACACGCGCACGCATATTTATACCCACTTGATGCGTGTCACTTGGCCTGTAAAATTGTCTAGCTACACATAATATTTTACTCCCTAATTAGCATAAATTGTGTAAGCTGTAGGAACGTGTTATGCCACTGCACACAATTTTCAGTCTAAATCACTCTCTTTTACACTTGAAGTGCGCGGTTATTTCCGAGAGGCCACGTGTGATGCGCCCAATGCAACTTAATAATTAGTTTAGCATGCTTTTAGGCGCGTGCATTTGTGTGTGTGTGTGTGTGTGTGTGTGTGTGTGTGTGTGTGTGTGTGTGTGTGTGTGTGTGTGTGTGTGTGTAGATGCTGTGCTTATAAGAGTATTACGACATATATATGTAGATATAAGTAATTGACATGTATGTATGTCAGTAATTCACGGTTCAGAAATCAGGCCAAACAGCCAAGCATCTCATTAGTGTATGCAAAATGTGTTCATTATGAATGTTCCTTGGCACAGGCTCTCATCTATAATGTACTCGTGCACAAATATTCTCGTATGCGTCTAGAGCTGCAAACTGATTCAAAGCGAATAAGGAAGCTAGAAATATATCTATACGGTAATTTGGAAAAGATCCGCATATGCGAATATTAAAGCTCTCCAAGACGCAATCGAATATAAGCTCAAATGAGTTTCAAGTTATTACTTCAATCAATCTAGGCTAAGAATGTGAAATCATAGATCTTATGATCCTTACAAAGTATTTTTTTTTTTTTTTTATATTTCCTTTGTATTCCACTTGGGAGCTTAGGGCTACTACAAGGACATTTTTCCAATCTTAACACTCTCTATTTCTAGCCGTCTGTCTGGCTGTGTCTCATGTGGTGTTGTTGTGTCTGGGAGAATTCCTGAAGGGTGCATCCGCCGCCAGGTTGCCGTCATTTTTTTTTTCAGGTCTGCCGATCCCGTCTGTTTCCTTGGGGGTTCCAGCGCCATCCTTGACATCAGACATCGAAGTAGTGGGAGTCTTTTTTGGATTCAGTTGTCTTGTAGAAGTTTCCATAATCATGTAGTTGTCAGTCGACCTGGTGATTGGCCAGATGCGACTTATCCCAGTGGTGGGGCTGCCACCTGTCGCCGCCGGGGAGAGGCGTTTTGGGGGGTTTAACTATTGTGCAGTCCAGATAGCGTGGATGGATGGACACAATACAAATACAAATATTGCTGTTGTTGTCTTTGTCCATATATTTTAAATAAATAAATATTCAAGTTTTTAAATAACATGAAAAACCTCTTTA